AGGCTCAAGGAGAGACAGAGAGACCGAGAGACAGGTCTGGGGGGAAAAACACAAGCCCTCCAGAAGGGGGAAGAGACACAGCAGGGAAATCTTGTTTCAATTTTTATTTTCTTCTGTTCTCTTGCACTCAGTCCTCAGACATTCCCGGGGCATAGGTAATGACAGCAGCCACAGCAGTGACCCATGGCCCCTACTTGAGAGGGAGCAGAACCTTCCTCACTGATCAGAAAAGCTGTGGTCCCGCCTCTGTCTCCCAATCTGGATGCAGGCACAGCTATCAACTGTGCGCAGCAGAGCAGAGTAACTCAAGTCCCAGCTCTCTGAAGGGAGGACCCACAGCGAGTCCAGGGAACCAGAAATCACTAAGGAGCCCACAGAGTGGGAGGAGGCAAGGAAAGGGACCCTTTAAAGCTGTGCATGAGCTCCTGGGCTCACCCCTAAGCTGCATGCACGTGCACGTGCCTGACCCTGAACAGCATACCTAAGACTGAGAACTGAACACAGAACAAACCATCATCCAGATCCAAGACTGGCCACTGGGTGGTGCACACGCAGGGCAGCTCTGACCAGCATGGCAGAGCTTTTGGAAACTGACCTGCCGTCAGGACCACGGCTGCCAGGAGGCTGGTGGGAACTTGCTGAATGGGTCAAATGCCCGATCAAACAAAACTAAAGTCCTCTGTGGCATTTAAACAAGACCTAGAGCCTCATAATATAGTATTCAAAATGTCTGTAATACAAATGAAAGTGACTTAGCATATGAAAAAACAGAAAAATCTCAACTTTTACCCTCAAAGACAAGGACCAGACCCCCATACCTTGATGACGCAGATGTTAGAACAATCAGAAAGACTTAGAACTAGCTATTATAAAAATGCTCCAGGAAGTAAGGGCAAACACTCTTAAACTGAATGCAAGGATAGGAAGTCTCAGCAAAGAAAGAGAATATAAAGAAGAAGCAAATTGAAATTTTAGAACTCAAAAGTACAATAACCAAAGTGTTAAAGCTCACCAGATGGGCTCATTAACAGTATCGAGACAGCAGAGGAATGAATCATTGAGTATGAGGATAGATTATCAGAAATTATCCAATCTGAAAGACAAAAAAAAAAAGGGAAGGAAAAGAATTCTAAGAACAGAAAAAAACAAATGAACAGGAACTCATGGACCTGAACCAGAAGGTCTAACATTCATGTCCTAGGAATCCCAGAAGGAAAGGAGAAAGAAAAAATGCAGTGCAGAAAAATATCTAAGAAAATAATAGCTGAAAACTTCTCAAAGTTATCAAAAAGTGAAACCTACAGATTCAAGAAGCTCAGTGAATCCCCAAAAGGAGACACTCAAAGAAACCCATGCCTAGATACATTATCATCAAAATAATCAAAGCAGAAGACAAAGAAAAATATCTTGAATGCAGCCAGAGAAAAACAACACATTACTTACAGGAAAACAATGAAGCAAAACCCAACAAAACTAAAAGGAGAAACAAATCCACAATTATAGTTAGAGAGTTCAACACTCATCTCTCTGTTCAAGGAAACAAACAGACGAAATCAGCAAGGATATGGATGAACTGACAACACCATCAAGCAATTGGATCTAATTTATAAAACACCACCAATAGCAAAATGCACGTTTTTTTCAAGTGCACACAGAACACAAAGATCAACAACCACTTCCTGGGTCATAAAACAAACCTTAACAAATTTACAAGAACTGAAACCATACAAAGTATGTTTTCTAATAATAATGAAATTAAACTAGAAATCGATTACAGAATGATAACAGGATATCCAAAAACTTGAAAACTAAAACATATCTAAATAATTGATAAGTCAAAGAGTTCTCAAGGAAAATTAGAAAATATTTTTAATTGAATGAGAATGAAACTACGATGTAACAAAACTTGCAGAATCCAGCTAAAGCAGTGCTGAGAGAGAAATTTTTATCATTAAATGCTTATTTTAAGAAAGAAGAAAGGGCTTAACCCAATGATCTAAGTTTCCATCATTAGAAACTAGAAGAGCAAAATAAACCAAAGTAAGCAGAAAAAATATATAATAAAGAATAGAAATAAATGAAATTGAAAAAAGAAAAGTAATAGGGAAAAATCAGTGAAATGAAAAACTGGTTTTTCAAAATAATAAAATTGATAAAACTCTAGCAAGAATGACAAATAAGAAAAAGAAGATACAAGCTATTAATACCAGGAACACAAGAAAGCATATCATTACAGACCCTCAAACATCAACAGTGCAATAAAGGAATACCATAAACAACTCTATGCCAATACATTTGACAATTTAGATTAAATGGGAAAATTCCACAAAAACTAGAAACTAACAAAATTCACCCAAGATGAAATAGATAATATGAATAGTTTGATAACCATTTTTAAAAACTGAATTCATAGTTTAAGATCTTTTAAAAACGAAGTTTCCAGGTCCAGGTAGTTAAACTGATGAATTCTACCAAACATTTAAAGAAGAAATAACACCATTCTATACAATTTCTTCCGGGAAAGAGGAAAGGAGGAAATACTTACCAGTTAATTTTATGAGGCTGGTACCTGATACCAAAACCAAAACCCTGATACCAAAACCAAAGATAGTACAAGCGAAAATATTTTAAAAGCTACAGACCAATATCTTTCATGAACATAAGCACAAAAATCCTTAACAAAATACTAGAAAATTGAATGTATCAATATATAGAAGGAATAATACACCACAACCTAGTATAGTTTACCCCAGGAATGCAAGGCTAGTTCACTATTCAAAACTTAATCAGTGTGATCTGCCACATGAACAGCCTGCGGAAAGCCCATATGACCCTGTGAATTGATACAGACAAATCATTTGACAAAACTCAATATCCACCAATGATTTTTTTAAAACTCTCTAAAAACTAGAAATACAAGAGAACTTCCTCAATCTAATAAAGGGAATCTACCAAAAAAGAAAAAAATTCCTACAGTCAGTATCATACCTATGATGATGAAACACTTTTCTCCTAAGATTGGGAATTAGGCAAGAATATCTATTCTCAACACTCACGTTGAACATCATCCTGGAAGTCTCAGCCAGTGCAATAAGACAAGACAAAGCAATAAAAGATACACAAATCAGGTGGAGAAAAAGGAACCCTCCTACACTGTTGGAGGGAATGTAAATTGGTACAGCCACTATGGAGAACAGTATGGAGGTTCCTTAAAAAACTAAAAACAGAGTTACTGTATGATCCAGTAATCCCACTCCTGGGCATACATCCAAAGAAAACTATAATTCAAAAAGATACATGCACCCCAGTATTCATTGCAGCGCTATCTGCAATAGCCAAGACATGGAAGCAACCTAAATGTCCACAGACAGATGAACGGATAAAGAATATGTTTTATATATACACAATGGAATATTACTCAGCCATAAAAAAGAATGAAATAATGCCATTTGCAGCAACATGGAGGGACCTAGAGATTATCATACTAGTGAAGTAAGTCAGACAGAGAAAGACAAATACCATATGGTACCACTTATATGTGGAATCTAACAAAATGATACAAGTGAACTTATTTACAAAACAGAAATGGACCCAAAGACATAGAAAACAAACTTATGGTTACCAAAGGGGAAAAGGGAGGTAATAAATTAGGAATTTGGGATTAACACACTACTATATATAAGACAGATAACCAACAAGCACCTACCATATAGCACAGGGAACTATACTCAATATTTTGTAATAACCTATAGGGGAAAATAATCTGAAAAATTATATTTTTATATATATATATATATATAACTGAATTACTTTTCTGTACACCTTAAACTAACACAACATAAATCAACTTTACTTCAATTTTAAAAAAGGCACACAGGGACTTCCCTGGTGGCACCATGGTTAAGACTCCACGCTCCCAATGCAGGGGGCCCAGGTTCAATCCCTGGTCAGGGAACTAGATCCCACATGCATGCCACAACTAAGAGCTCACATGCCACAACTAAGGAGCCCTCCTGCCACAACTAAGACCCAGTGCAACCAAATTAATTAGTTAATTAATTAAAAATTTTTTTTAATGGCATACAAATAAGAAAGAAAGAAAACTCTCCCTATTCACAGGATGGCTAAAATAAAATGTCTACCCACACCAAGTATTGGCAAGAACATGGAGAAACTGGAACTCTCCTACACTGCTGGTGGGAATGTAAAATGATGCAACCACTCTGGAAAACAATCTAGCAGTTTCTCAAAAATGTAAACATTCATCTACGATATGATCCAACAATACCGCTCCTAGGTATTTTCCTGAGAGAAAGGAAAACACATATCCACACAAAGACATATACACAAATGTTAACAGCAGCTTTATTTGTAATAGCTCCCAGCTGGAAACAACATAAATATTCATCAGTAGATGAAAGGAAAAACTATGATAAATTCATACACTGGAATATTAATCAATGATAAAAAGAAAGAATTACTGATGCATGCTACAACATGCACCAATCTTGAAATAATCATGCTGAGTGAAGCAAGCCAGTCAAAAAACAAACACATTAATATAAATCTAGGAAATTCATATTGCCATTGACAGAAAGTGGATCAGGAGTTGCCTGAGAATGAGGTAAGGGGAGGGTGAGAGGAATCACAAAGGACACTAGGGAGTACCAATGACATTTTCATTATTTTGATTTTGGTAAAGGTTTCATAGTTGGATATGTATGTCAAAACATCAGATTCTATTATTTAAATGTATACAGTTCCTTGTATGTCAATTATACTCAAAGATTTTTTTTTTAACTCAACAGGCAGAAAACAAACAACCCAATTAAAAATGAACAAAAGGCTGTAACTGATACTTAGCCGAAGAGGGTACAGGGATAACAAATAAACACATGACAAGAAGTCTAACATCATTAGCCATCAGGGAAATGCAAATCAAGATCACGATGAGATACCACTACACACTCACTAAAATAGTTAAAACTAAAAATACTCACAATGCCGAGTGCTGGTGAAGATGCACAGAAGTGGGAACTCTCACCCTTTTCTGGTGGAAATGTATAGTGACGGAGCCACTCTGGAAAACAGTTGGGCAGTTACTTAAAAACTTAAACATTCACCTACCATATGACCCAGCAATCTCACTCCTGGTATTTACCCAAGAGAAATAAAGACATGTTTACACAAAAACCTGTACACAAATGTTAACAGCAGCTTCGTTCATAATCGCCAAAATCTGGAAACAATCCAGAAGTCCTTCAACTGGCGAACGATAAACAAATCACGGTCCATCCAAACCATGGAATACCACTCAGAAAGAAAAAAGAGGAGCCGTTGATACATGCAGCGGCTTGGCTGGATCTCAAAGGCATTGTGCTGAGTGAAAGAAGCCAGGCTCTAAGATTCCATTCTCTATGATTCCACTGATATGACACTCTGGAGAGGACAAAACTATCGTGATGAGGACTGACCAGGAGTTTCCAGGGGCTGGTGATGAGGGGAGGGTGTGACTGCACAGGGGTACATGAAGGAGATTTTTGGAGTGGTGCAGCTGCCCTGTATCTTGATTGCGATGATGATGACACAAACCTATACATGCGTTAATACTCATAGGACCATACAACAAAGAGAAAGTCAATTTTAGCATATGTTCACTTAAAAAAATAAAAAGGTAGGAAGGAGTGATGGGTGTTAGAGCTCTGTGGTCCCCCACCCTAGACCCTGTGTTAATGAAGAAAAACATCTCCCAAACCATGTGACTCCAATCAGAGCAGTAGGACCCTGGCTCTGCATCGGTTGGTGTCCAGGGAAGGGGGACAGATCCTCCCCGTGCAAAATGGAGAAAATTCACATTTGTTGGAAATCGCATAACCATGATTCTTCCACTCAGCCCATTTAGTCCTGAACCTAGAATGAGGTAATTATGCAGCCCAAGGAATCTTAACAGCATGGAGGAGAAACCCAAGCAAAGCCAGTGAGGGGGAAGTTCTACCAGAAACAGGAAATTTGAGCCTGACCAGAGGTCTCAGGGCTTCGCTCCCTCCCGCGATTGTGAGTTCTCAGCCAGGGCACTGTTAACCCTAAGGCGGCTCCGAGACTCCAAGTCTGCAGCAAACGTGCTTCTAAGGCAGACTTCGGAGTAAATCCCCACACATCGCTTGTCCTCAGCCCGCCACAGTGGTGAGATGGGTCTCGATGTACAGACTGACCACACGCACTGCAGGACATTTGTATTCCTGGCCCCTCCCCATCACTGTCAGAGCCAAAAGTTCCATCCCCGTGTTTGTCCAAACAACCCTTGGGCGGTGCCTCTGCTTGAGTGGCCGGAAAAAGAAAGGGATGTTGAGTTGGAAAAAACTGCTCTCTTCACCCTGATTGGAAGAGTGTCCCTAGGGCCCAGGGAACAACACAATTTCACGCAATGAGATGAAAAATCTTAATGTACAAACACCCTCAGTAGTTTTAGTCCCCTGTCTGTGAGAAAGGATGCCAGTTCTGACCACATAACCCCTCCCTTCCTCAGTACCCTTTGAGGAGTGGTCTGTGACCCTCAGACTGAACCGCATGAAGGTTAAAGCCTTCAGCAGGGCTACATCTGGACCACAGAACTTGTGGTTCAGACCATCAGCAAGGCAGCCTGAGGTCAAATAGAATGCCCTGGATTTGGAAACAGAAAACCTAAGTCCAAGCCTGGACCTCACTGCCTCACCTCTCTAAGCCTCAGGGTCCTCATCTGTAAAATGGGGATAACAGGACAAGCTCTTTCCCACGTCACAGTGCTTCACACATTCTGTTCCCTCTTTCTGTGGATGCTCTTCCCAGGCTCTCACAGCTGTTTCCTTCCTGTCCCAGAAGATTTCTTGCAAAATGCCACCTCCTCAGAGGCACTTTCTCATCCAAAGTAAACTCCCACCCCAGTCATGTTGTATCACAGTGTCCTGTTGAATTCTACCAGGCATTTGTCACTACTTGGATCGTCTCTGTCCTCTCTAGGCCATCGTTCTCTTCCAGACGAGAATGCAAGCACCAGGAAAGCAGAATCCTGGTCGTCTCACCTCCCCTCTATACACTAGGACCCAATACACAGCACACGCACACTGCATTTTGGTTGGATGAGTGATGATTCCCCAATTTCCAGGGTCGCTTCAGGGTCAGGGGAGCCTGGGCAAGCAAGTACTCTGCACCTCAGAGTTGGTGGGTGTCACTAAGTAGACCTCTGAGACACCCACTCACATGCTCCCTAGGAAACCAAGAGCAGGAGTTTGGTGTAAAAAGCCTCAAATCATAAGATTCGGAATGCTGCATTTCACCAGCTTGCCAGAGTACAATTTTGCTAGGAAATAAAAATACGTAATATTGCCACAAAATTCAGAACCAGTAAGAGTCCCAGTTTACTAGCCAGACCAGATGCATCTCTCCCTCTGTGTCAGTTATGTTCACCAAACATTCAGGAATCGACTTACAACATTCTTTCAAAGCAGGAACCCAGCCGAGGACTCCACACTGGAACTTAAATTACATTTGGACGCTAAGCTTACCACCTAAAATAAAACTGAACTTCTCCATGGTGTCTCAACACCCCACCCTCCCAAGACTGATCCATCAGCTGACATTTAAGTTAGGAGAGCAGGGTCTGCACTTTGTAGCAGTCAGACCCCAGGGGCATCACCCACCCTCGCAGTGCCTCAAATTTCCTCATCAGTGAAATGGGGATAATACTCACTACATAAATAGATAAATGAACACCAATCCTTACAACAGCATTAGCCCATGGTAGGCACTTAATAAACATTCCTGTGATCTGTATTCCTCGCTGGGAGGCTTTGAGCAAGCCATTTCACTTTTTGAGCCTCATTTTCTAGTCGGCAAAGTGGGTACAGAAATCCTTTCCTGCTTGCAAGGCTGCTGAGACAGTCAAATTAGATCACTTCCAAGAATGTGCTAGTTCCCCAGGGTTGCGTGGTCTCCCCTTGCTGACTGAGGGGAATTAGAGAGAGGCTAACGAGGTTTTAAAAGCATTTCTTCTCTAAGCAAAACCTGTGGGGATGAAAATCCTTTCCTGACCTTTTAATCAGAGCTATGAACCAAGTGCTAGGGGAAAAGGGAGAGGGAGTGGGGATATGTGCTATGATAGTCATTGGCATGGGGGTACCAGGACAGCAAGATGGAGTGGTGGCTAGAGGTGCAGGCTCCAGGCCAGCTGCTGTAGGAGGGAGGAAAAGGGCAGTGGGGCTGGAGATCTAGAGGGTCTAGCTGCACAGCACCACAGCTAGCCCCACATGGCACCCCTGTGCAAATCTGAAAAAGATATCCCTTCCCCAAGATACTCTGCTGCCACTTTCTGCAAAACTGACACAATAAATATACAAATCTACAATGACTATTACGTGAGTGGTGCCTTGGATTGTGCAGTATACAACCTATACAACTGTACTTAACAGCCTGAGGAGCCCATGCACCCAGTAAGGCTTAAGGAAATCAGCTGAGCACAGATATGCGGATTGTAAACGGTTACAAAACAGAACATGGAAAAGAACCTCAGCAGATGTGGAGAAACAGGAACCTTTATACATTACTGGTGGGGATGTAAAATGACTCAGTCACTGTGGAAAACAGTTTGGCAGTCCCTCAGAAAGTTAAACATAGAAATACCACATAACCAGTAATTCACTCCTAGGTATATACCCAAAAAGAATTGAAACAAAAAGTTGTACACAAATGTTCATGGCAGCATTATTGACAGTAGCTAGAAGGTGGCAACAGCCCAAATGTCCATTAGCAGAATGGATACATAAAATGTGATTTATCCACACAATAGAAGAGTAATCAGTCATAAAAAAGAATGACACATGCTATGATGTGGATTAGCCTCGAAAACATTATGCTGACAGAAGCCCATCACAAACAGCAGCATGATTCCATTATATGAACTGTCCAGAAGAGGTAAATCAAATCCACAGACATAGAAAGCAGACTAGTGATCGCCAGAGCCTGGGGAGAGGAGCAAACAGGGAGTGACTCTTTAAAGGTACTGGGTCTTGGGCTTCCCTGGTGGCGCAGTGGTTGGGAGTTGGCCTGCCGATGTGGGGGACGCGGGTTCGTGCCCCAGTCCAGGAGGATCCCGCATGCGGCTGGGCCCGAGAGCCATGGCCGCTGGGCCTGCACGTCCGGGGCCTGTGCTCCGCAACGGAGAGGCCTCAACAGTGAGAGGCCCGCGTACCGCAGAAAAAAAAAAAAAAAAAAAAAAGGTACTGGGTCTCCTTTTGGGGTGACAAAAGCGTTTCAGAACTAGATAGAGGTGATGACTGTACAACAGTGAATGTACAAAATTCCACTGAATTTAGCACTTTAAGATGGTTAATTTTGTGTAATGTGAGCATCACCTCAATTTTCAAAATCCCTCAGCAGTTACATTTAGTAAAAGCCAACAAGGACAGAGAACGACACACGGACCAGGTGCCCACCCCTTATGCTAAAAGGACACATAATCCCTGTCATGAACTTAGATCCCCTTGGGAAAGAGAAGAGAAGGGATGCAGAGGAAACTGACTCTCCAACATGAGAGTCTTAAACTCGGTGTGACCGAGTTCCTTGGAACCGGCACATTGGATCTTCCAGCACTCAGTAGAAACGGGATCTCAAGAGAGAAGTTTGATTATAGGGAAATAGGGAAAGGCACAGCTGTGCACACCAGATTCGAAAATGTGAAAGTCAAAATCTACACTCGGAGTAGAATCCTGTTATCATTCCCATCGCACGGACAAGCTCACCAAGACCTGGGGAAGCTAAACCACCTTGCCCAGGAGACACGGCTAATACCTAACAGGCGAACCCAGGCAGCCTAATCCTAGAACCCCAGTCTGGACCCACTCCCTCTACCACCTCCCACATGAAAAGAGGTCATCAGGCTAAAAAGGCTGTCAGAGCAAAGGAGCAGAGGGTTAAAACAGAATGCATGCTTCTGGGAGTACGCAAAGCTTGATCTTGGAGATGATGATGGTGATGACGGGCGTGGGGATGGTGATGACGATGCTGATTACGAGGATGATGGTGATGATGATGATAATGTCGGTGGTG